CTGGTTCATGCATCATGCTCGTGAACGGGTGCTGCAAGCGGAGACGAGTCTACCCTAACTACTTTGATATTGAAGATGTTAATGTTTAGTTACACCTAATATAAATAACACTATTAGTATTTGTACTGTATGACACACCAATCAAAATGCAGTGAACAATTAATGTATATTTCACATTATGACGACCTCCATGGCCGAGTGGTTTGTACGCCGGGTTTCATGGTGTCGCCGACTCGAAAGGTCCCGGGTTCGAATCCCGGTGGGGGCAGATGTTTGTGTGATGAATACGTGCATTTGTACTCAAGTCATGGATGTTTATGTATTTCTATATAAATATACTTATATATGTACAATATATGTATTCTATCCGTTACCCTAGTATCCCATAACACAAGCCTTATAGTGTTTACTTTGAGGCTAGGCTAATTGGTGCGTGTGTTGGAAATATTTATATTTATTTATTTATGTAATGAAATGTAACTTCATGAATCATCTCTGAACTCATCATTTTTAAATTTGACGACTCTGTTAATAATAAAACAGGGAGAAAAAAGCAGCCTTTGCTGAGTTTCTTGCTGGTTCTTATCAGTACGAGGTCTCGCACCGTAGATTTACGACCCGATGGCGTAGCTTCTAGACATTCATAAGTGCTTGTAACAGCCTAAACTGAATAAATGATTTTGATTATGATCATAATCTAGGGTGTTTATAATCAAAGCTTTTGCCTTTGCTTCAGCTGATCGCTATCAACGAGAAAAAAACTGTTTATTACTACAATTAAATCACGTGAAAAAATATCTTTAAATATTCTTTATATACCTACTTAAAATATCAAATATCAAAATTTTAGTTAAAATTAACTGCTCCGAACTTTGTTAATATCTTTGAAAATTCAAACCAGAAGAAAACAATACGACTAACGGGCAAATAAACTCATATTTACATAAAATAAATTGGTATAGTATACGTGTACAAATGAAATAGCATAATTTCGTGAATCATATTGATCCAAAATTGATACACATTTTTCATAATAATGGTGAGAGAAGGAATGTTTTCATCTAAATATACACTTGTAAAGGAAACATTTGTTTTTATTTGATGAACCTTGAACGTAAATTTGCCAAATAACAGTTTCGCACGAGTGCTTTGTTCCTTAACGATCCCATTGTTTTGCTCCCAGTAGGATATTTAAAAAACAGAGCTCATGATGTCCCTACTTGTGAAGCAATACAATGGCATTAGTGGTGGACAAAGATTGTATTTAGTTCGAGGAATGGTTTTAGTTATTTTTCCATATAATTATGGAGGCACCGGCTATCTTCGTAATTAGACTTTCACTTACAGCACACCGCCTGCTGTGGATTAACCGACCTTTTTAAAAACAGCAAAAGAGAATCGGAAACATTGGAAATAACTTAAACAGAAAATGACAAAGCTCTTGTTTAAATCGAATGTTTTTTTCTCGTTACAGCTGAGTTATACACATTTTCGGGTTCATCTAAAAATGTTATTTTAGTTAGTCATTAGTTCAAACCTAATGTTGTTTCTGTCTTCTTTTTAGCGGCAAACAAAAGTGATAGCATCTGTTTTAGTCCAGGTTTAACTTTAGTCTGCATTTTGTAATAGGTGGTTTATGACACCGATTGAGGAGCCGATGGCGCGGGTGGTTAGTGCGTTCGGCTGCGATCGTTGAAGTTAAGCAACTTTCGCAGTGGTCGGTCATTGGATGGGTGACCAAAAATCTTCTATCTCGAGTTCCTCCGTGCTTCGGAAGGCACGTGAAGCCGTTGGTCCCGGCTGCATCTGCAGTCGTTCGCACCCGCCAATCCGCACTGTGCCCGCGTGGTGGGTCATGGCCCAATCTCCGTATTCCATCCATAGGTAAGGCCTGTGCCCCAGCAGTGGGGCATTAATAGGCTGATGATGATGATGATGATGATGACACCGATTACGGTCCATAATACAAAACTCACTGATAGACAGACGGACAGCGAAACCTTTGTAATAAGTTTCAATTGTCACCCTAACACATAAGTCGGAAAAACGAAGCAAAACAATCGGGTCACATAGGAACAAACCTCACCACCATGACACACAAAGGCAGGAAGCCACGAAAATTAACACTTGTATCGATGTTTTGCATGATATTAGTTTAGACAGAGGATGTTTCTAAAACACCTTTTTGTATGCAACGCGTATGAAATGTGTGTTTTTTTTTTATTGTTAAAAAAAGAAACAGTACATTATTCGTACGCTTTGTGTATGCTGAATCCAAACAAGGAAACTTTGCTTAAACAATAACTTTTTAAGGAACTGTTAAACAGGATAGAACAATATGTACTTTTAAGTTGCTCTTGGTGGATTGTCAGGACAAGAACGTCACACTATGCAGCAGCTACTAACTTCCATGCATGCTGTGATTGTATTCAACAACAAAATTTAAAATGTAGGCTTGTAGACATTGAACCGCCAAACTGTCAGTATATTCGTTAAACCAAACTACTAAAAGCTGATTTACGATGTTAGCTATGGACTTCTATACTTTACTCGTTTTTAGGGTTCCGTTTACCACGAGAGGAATATACGGAAATCTTATAAGATCACTTTGTTGTCCGTCTTTCTGTCAAGAATTTTAGAACGCGTAGCGGTATCGAGTTGGAACAAAAACTCAGGTTTATGGTCCCTTGAAGCTGTAAAAAATCAAACTTCTAAGTTAACGTAAAAAAAGATCTGACCATTTATGTTTTACTAACTATGCCTCGCGGTGTTACCCGCGGTTTATTAGGGATATCTTCCCGCAGTAAAACGTAGCCTGTTATCCAAGGTGTCAGCTAACTCCATACCAAATTTTATTAAAATCGCTTCAGCTGTTTAGACCTGAATAAGTAGCAAACATACACACTCACAAACTGTCGGTTTTATAATATTAGTGTGATATTTCCTCCCAACAATGCAAGAAAAAATTGGCGTTATACCACCTTTGATGTCATGGACCACATTAAACGCAATTTTTGTCCTAATTCTTTATTTCCATTCTATTGTAATAATAATAGAATAAACCTTGATTCTACTACTTGATAAAATCGGTATAAAAGATACAACACTTAGTTCTGGTACAAACCTTGTCATTTCTGCCTCCTGCCTACCTATGCAATTTTCTGCACTGCTGATTGCTAAAATGATGTCACGGCTCGGAGCCTTCAAGCTGTTATCAGTCGGTCATTTCAAGGGTGCATTAATACAGAAGATAATTCTACACCTTGGCATAAAAAGATTATTGCTAAACATGGTGGCAGTACAGTTTCTAAACAGCGCACACGGCAGTTGATTATGTTGAGAAACAAAGACAATAAATTCAGTTTTAGAAGTGATTCTGGACTGCAATTATATTTCTTTAATAATTGATTTCTCCTTACGGAGCTTGATGGCTCAGCAGTGGTTATCGTGTTGGTGAGATGGGATAGTTAATAATACTTATATCTATTATATCGAGCTCCTCTGTGCTTTGGAAGGCATGTTAAGCCATATTGGTACCGTTTAGCTTACACCAATCTGCTTTGAGCCAGTGTGGTGGATTATGCCTCCTTCTTTCTCCATTCATCAAAGGCGGCAGTGAGAACATTAATAGACTGATTAGGCTTTCAATTTTTAAATGTTCTAGACAGCGGGCGTCCTCTTTGATTTTACATCCGTCAGTAGAAATTTTTTGACGACAAAAGTTTACTGCAAGGTGCATTGTATATTCTTAAGAGTGGATTACTACATACCACCACAAAAATAAGTGGATATTTAAAAATATATACCTAGTATAAAGTTATATAACTACTTTGATTTTATCAGAGTTACTAGTTTGCCACTATCTATATAAAATTTCAAGTTTTAAAAATTCTTTTAACAAACTGAGAAAGATATTGCATAACATTCAGTATTAACAGCTTGTATTCCAATGTCATAAGAGTCCTTTTTGCATTTTTTTGTTGGCTTTTAAGATATACATTTACGCCCTTATGAAACAGAGATATGAAACATAAAAAAAGTCACTCGCAACGTGTAGAAGCAGGTGTTACGACAGATGCAAAAGGCATCATAAAAAACATAATCTTCTGTAAAAAAGTGCACCCTGTGCAATTATTTGAATAAAATTTTAAATATTATATCTGAAATTGTCATAATTGAAAGCATGTAATGACTTGTTTGTGAATAACTCGATAGCGCAGGTGGTTAGTGTATTTGGCCTGCGATCGTGAAAGTTAAGCAACTTTCGCAATGGTCGGTTCTCGAATGGGTGGCCAAAAAGTTATTATTTCGAGCTCCTCCTTCCATCGTAAGGCACGTTAAGCCATAAGTCCCAGCTGCAGTCTTTAGCTATCCATCCCCACTGGGCCCGCGTGCCGGGTCACCGTCCAGTCTCCCTATACCATCCATAGGGAAGATCTTTGGCCAAGCAGTGAGGACATTAATAGGCTGATGATAAATGATGATGACTTGGTTTCAAATCAAACCTACCGAGTTAGATTGGAATTTTATAATTAACGGTTTGATATTGGAATTATTAATTAAGCCTATTCGTCCAAATGCCGAGTGCTAGGGCTAGGATGCTAAAGTACGGCCAACGAGAAACGACACAAAAGTTCATTCACCTTAGACGAGACTATGGCACTGACAGTCTAATAACAATCTCTTTCATCTCGTATATAAGACATTAGGTCTCATTCGGTCATTTCACGTGATTGCCGAAGAGCCGAGTTCAAGATTCGGACAGCATTTTTTTTAATAGTGACATATTTTCATTTCATTCCTTGTCTTTCCAATACTTTACTAATAATTTTTATCTCTCTCTCTGGAAAATGTTTTTGTGCCCGCTTTATACTGAATTTGAGTACAGAAGCAAGAAATGCTAAATAAAATTTTTGGAGCTCTTGCTACATTATTCACAGCAGGAACAGAAGTACCCTTGAAAATATCAATATTCAATGAATTTATTTTTTTGTCTACAGGAGGAATGGGCTAAGATCTCCGAGATAATGGCCTCTTTCGGCAGCAAGCTGGTGCGAGAGTCGGTGTTTGTGTCAGAATTGGAGCAGGAGTTCACTTCCCGGCTTGGACTGAGCTGCTCGGAGTCGAGTCTCAGCCCCTCGGTAGCATCGAACCTGGGACACTGGCTCGCCGGCCTGGGGCTACACGACTACGAACCTTTGTTCTTGGAGAGCGGTTACGACGACATCGATTTTGTTGTAAGTTTTGAGGAATTTCTGATAAATCATTTACCTACTTAATCTTTACCCGTCTGATGGCTAAAATGGGTTTTTTGCTTTAACAAAGGCCGTGGCCTTTTGCCTTATAAAATATATGTATTCTGTAGTAACTAAAAGACTTTTTCTACAAAATACATATATTTTATAGCTGAAATTTTCGTGTTCTTCAGTCACAAAGTAAAAAAAGTTTCACTTTGTGACTTTCGTAATGTATATGTATGTTGTAGAAAATTTCAATTGATTATACATCTATCTTATCTAAATAATGTTGAAGTTAAGAATAATTATATCGTTCAATATTTTGTTACAGAACGGCATCCTAGACGAGAACGATCTACGCGAGATGGGCATAGACGAATCAGATAGGCAGAAGATATTAGAATCAGCAAAACAGTTACCTCTTAAAATAACAGGAATCAGCAATAACCATAACAATAATAATATAAGTAAAAACCAAAACGAATCTGTAGACGAATGGCTAAGGAACATTAATCTAGAACAATATAGTGATACGTTTAGGAAACATTTGTACGTAGATATGGATAGAGTCAAGAGGATTTGGGAGGTGGAGTTGACTGCCGTGCTAGAAATACAGAAGGCTGGACATAGAAAAAGGATTTTGGCATCAGTCTCCGGTGAACACAACGGACCGGTAAACAAAATTGAAGATATTAGCACTGATCTCAACACATTGGTGAGTATTTTTTATTTTGATGACTTCAAAGTCCGTTTTTAATTTTATTACCGCTATTTATTATATTTATATAGACAATTAGTTTTTACTTACTCGATTTTTATTATGCATAATTTTATATAATTGGTTCAATTCTGTTTTTTATGAAATCTTATTTATTCAAATACCCCTACCGTACCCTAACATCTATTTTGTGTCAAAATCCTTTTTTACATTTAAAATGTTGAGTACGTTTAGTTGTAGTATTAGCTATTCAAAATCCATTGTTTTACTTGTCTCCTAAAAAATAAAGCTTTTACATTATAACTATATTAATCATCTGCTAAAATGTTTTTCAGTGTTTATAATTGAAGTGAAACACAGTATTCTTATATTTTATGCTTGCATCATTCATCATTGCTTTTGCTCTGTAGGAGGTAAATCTATATCTTTGTCTAATTTAGATCTCAAGCTTCATACACATTCATGTAGCAGATTAGTTACACGTATTGAATTGATCTAAACCGGAGTGTGTATTAACATATGTCGGCTAATATTTGTCATCGGGATTTTTTCTCATACGTATAATATAATCAACGACTAGTTAATCGGTCATACGTATTATATTCATATCATGATTCATCGAGACCATTGCGATGTCAACACGCTTGGCATATTCAATAGTTTCTCATAACATAATCCCATTGGTAAATTTAATATTCCACTCGTAGAATGGCTATAAAAAGCTCATAATACACATTTGAATACGTTATAAGGTCTGTGTAAATAAAATTATGATCATTCTATTTATTCACTCTTAGCTTAAAAATGAGTCTATATCTTACACATAAGTCTTTTTCCGCATAAAGTTTCGCGAATAAACTAGCCCATGTTAATAACAGATCTATTAACTACTCTAAGCAAATATTCATTTTTAGATTAGTAGTTTCCTCAAACCATCAAACTCTTTATTTGATGACTCCACGTGTTGTTTCTAGACAAACATTTGCTTTAACTTTATTTTAAGAACCACAAGGATTACGGAGTTGCTGTCATTATTGCATTATTAATCAAAAACTCCATTCTAATTAAAGTATAGCAACTAGTATAAGGTATCAAATCCTAATTAATATTATTTATAGACACAATCAACAATTAACCCCATAAGTTACCAAAATAGTCTCAAATCTTCTCCTTGGGTTTTTTATCAAATAAACTTAAATTGCATATATGTTTTCAAAAGTTTGAATATTGTTCATATTAAATGTAAATCTCAAAAAAACATTGTCCGTGAGGTCAAATGATGAAAAAAACCAAATAAATACTACAGTTTGCACTTTCAGTAAATTTAATAGGATATTAAATTACCGAAATTGCCGCATTTACATGCGTTCAAAGAAAAGGAACACGCAGGTTGTACGATACAAATGCAAAAAGGGTCCTCGTTTGACTTACACACATGCAAGTGACAGTCCACGGGTGCATCCGAGCGAACGACCCAGTGAATCAGAATATTGTAAAAAGGACATCCTCTCTATCAAAATGCCGTTGGGGAGTTGCTATGATACGTGTGCTACACCGGGAGTGCTTTGAACTTGAAGCAAATCTAGATGTTAGGGCACTTTTACCGATTTTGACTTGGCTTTTAATAATATGAACATAGTTAAATTTAGATTTAAATGGCCTTACCAAGAAGCAGTGATAAGGCTACGTTCTTAGTAGAACCGATATCATCAGTACTAATTTAAAAGCGTATTGACATTATTTATTGTTTTATGAAGTTAAGATAATTTAATGTTCTTATCTTTAATGTTTTGCATCTGTGTTATGTTCACAATGCACTAGTATTCTTTCATTGTTGGAGTTTGAAATCAACATATATTATATAAAATTACCTATTTCATTGATTCTATCCTATCGATAATAATTACCTTAAGAAAAATTAACATTTGAAGTTTTAGGTTTTTTCTAGCTATTACTAGGCTCTCCTACTGATAGGAGCATGAAAACTTATTATTGTCAATTAGACAAAAAAGCTTTTTGTGTTTAACCTTTTTTCTCTTATCCTATACCTTCAGATATTGTGCACACTACTCATTCAAAAATTATCATCATCATCGAAAATCATGTTTCATCATTTTTTATGTCGCTACGGACTATTTCCTTAATATACATTTAAATATTATCTATTTATTTATTCAATTTAATTGGATCCAGTCAAAAAAGATACTCAGTTTATCGAAGATTGAAAAAAAAACTACTATAATGATTACTAACTTTAACCTGAGGTTCACATTTATTGAAATTTTAAATAATTACAATTGGCATAGTGCTTTAAGATGCTATAAGGTATCACCTTTATATCCTGTGGCAGTTCTTATTATTAGTGAAGATTTGAATGTGCCCAGGCATTTTTTTATTGAACTCGTCGGTATAAGTACGAGTGAAACGCCATAAAACTTGATAACCGTCAGGTGGTCGCTGCACATTTTATTGAACATTACGACCATTGAATTAATTCTACAGCGGATATCTTTCACCATAAATGCATTGTTTAATAAGTTCGTTCCGGTTTTGGTTTAATATCGTCCAGGATTCCTTTCATACATTCATAGAGATGAAAAAAATCCTTCACAATTCTATCGTCTTTATTGATTTGACAATATTTTTTTTATATCCTCAATAAATGGTTCATAAAGTGATTTGGATATTATCATTAATACCTAAAATATTAATTTTACCGTAGTATTCATGGTATGTCAAACATAAAAAAGCCTAAATAATACAGTTCAACGTATTTCAACGTTATGAAGATGTTATTTATTATATTCATCATCATCATCATCATCATCATCAGCCTATTAATGTCCCCACTGCAGTGGCACAGGCCTTCCCTATGCATGGAATAGGGAGTTTGAGTTTCTTATGTTAGTCAGAAATAACTTGTACAATCATCTGCCTACGTAATTATAAAAAAAACACCGTATTTATCATTGCCATTTAGCGAAAGTGAAAACAAATTAAAAAATAATTAAACAGACTAGCCATGGTATTGAGTAACTTATTGATGATTGTTATCAGTCGGCGGAAAGCGAGAGTTCCGTATTTCAATTCTCTCCTGCTTATTCGATCTATTTTTACTGCTTCTCGATAATCTTCTCTTTTCCAACGGATCTTCTGTGTTCGATAGTCATCTAATTCATATTTAACGAGATAGTTGTATAGACACCTTCCCCATATCCAACATTGTCCATTTCTTTCCGTATTTCAATTCTCGCCTGCTTTTTCGATCTTTTTTTACTGCTTCTCGATAATCTTCTCTTTTCCAACGGATCTTGTATGTTCGATAGCCATCTAATTCATATTTAACGAGATAGTTGTATAGACACCTTCCCCATATCCAACATTGTCCATTTCTTTATCGGGAACACTTAATGGTGTCCTATAGGGAGTTGCCTGGTTACCCCCTGCACATCGGTAATTAACGTAAGATGAGCAATTTAGCAAGGATTAGCCATTTTGATCTGACAGGTAAGTTTGCGGGGAGTGCCGATGAGCCAATAATCACGTTAAATAAAGTGTTATGCATCACCCTTGTGTAGGTATTAAAAAAGGGGATTTATGTTTTTCTCCTGTACATTGAAAGATTTATTTGTAAGACTACGTGTTTCACTATTTATTTCTAGGTATCCTTGCAGGAATGAATGAATGAATTAAATTTTAACTGACCACTGATTTTATAATGTTATCATAGATAAGATCATTGCAAACTCGTTGTTGGGCACGTAATCAAATGCGAGACAAAAGACGCAAATTAAAATTACATATTAATCCGCCATAAGAATGTATCTACTATTTAGTTCAAGCATATATTGTTTATGCTAACACATAGTGACGAACATAACCTTCATGATGCAACTAAAAGTGGTGTTCATACTTGAAAAAGTCATCTTTACCGAACAATGGTTCCCTCCAAAACTATCAGATACTTACATATTCTCAAGTATCATCATAATAAGTCTTATCCACCGATATTCATATTCCGTCCCATTCAGTTTGTATCGTAAGCGTAGGCGTACCGCAGTGGCATTTTTTTTTAATTTCACACGTCGGCACACCCGTATAGTTAATTAGTGTTCAATCCGCCTTCTATTCAGCGTGTGCTATTCACGAGAGCGCCCGGAGAGGCACTCGCTGCCACAGCCACTAAAATAGCTGGGCACCCCTAACTAGGTGTGCAGATGTTGGAAATATTTTTTGAGAATGTAAAATTTTAATTTAGAGTTGGTTCGAAAGAATAGGAGATTTGCAACACTTAATACTGCGTTTTATTACTATTGATATTTAAAATTAATTTGATTATGCTGGCAGTTCACATGCCAATACGTACAGGTCTTGACTAAATTTGACAACAGACTTATTTTTTTTTACTGTCTATACATCTAGCCGTTAAATGCTTAAAAATAAAAATATAACTATTGACTACAGACCGATAAATTTGCAAATGGCAAATACGAATAGTCATGTGAAGAGCTGGCATTACGAAACTTATTCTATGAATGTTATATGTGGAAGGTTGCATTTCTTTTTCTATACATTAATTAAAACTGTTCTAAAAATCTGCAGGATTTTTTGTATCACTATCATGTTTTTAGTATTCTATCAAAATAAACCTAATTTACATTCACTCTTGCGCGTTCGAAATCCAATGGTAATCCACAACTATAAGACTCATTCGAACTACATCGTACCCCAACTATTCAAGTTCATTCCCACGGAAGATCACACCATTCATCGGGAACGTAATACGCAACTCCGCTGCAGCCTATTTTCAATAGCAAAAGGCACTCGTCAAATTAGTTGACACTGCCTGTTATTGCGCATTTGTGCCTCCGTTTTAGTGCCTTAATTAAAATTTATCGCTATCTCTTTTTTTTCTGGCATACAGTAACAGGCACCTCATCATCATTGTTTTGCACCTCTGAAGTGTGAACTAGCGAGTCACTTTAGCTGTCATTGTGCGTTTGCGTTTGTGACTGTTCATCCGTTTTGTGTTTAATTAGGTTTGCTTTCGTTCGTTCAATTACGTGTTACGTCGCGTCTGAAGGGCGTTTTGTTTCATTCCCTGCCTTTTTTCATTGCATCATTTCTATTTTACGTGGCTTCATGTCAAATGCCCCTTGCGGGGTTAGGTGAGCAATAAACGTGTCATTTAAGTAGGTATATAAGTTTAAATAATACACCATATCACACCTTGATGATATCATATTTGATATTATACGATGTTAATTTGGAAGTATTTTTTTAAGGTAACCCCACCCTCTGTTCATTGAGGCAGGATTATGTGATTAATACATGGTCTAATTTTTTTGATAATCTCAAGAGCACATCGCTAGTCTTCTTTTAAGATTGCCTAACTAAAACATATTCGTAATAGTCTTCTAATTAGTAAGACCGAAAGTTAATTAAGTTATATATTCAGATCGTCTTTGTTTTAGAAAAACAATATACAGCAACTGAAAGAAGAAATCAAAGAGAAGTTACCGTCGGAGAACTTGAAGCCTGTTCCACCTCCTGTGGTGCCTCTTCTAGCTCCCCCTGGTGGCGAGACGTTGAAACGGAGCAAGAAGAATAGACCAGCTCCACAGCCACCTAGACCGTCGGACTTGGAGATCAGGGCACCATCAGAACTGTTGGTGGGAGTACCGGGCGCTTTGAAGACTCAGTGGAAACATCAGCCGTTTGTGTTAGTTACTGGAGCTGTTACTTATGTGGCTAATGTGAGTATTATAGTGAATGGATAAAGATTTGGCTTCAGCTTCACCTAAGGATTATCTTTTCTACCCACACCCTACGTAAACGAAATTAGTGTCAACCACATATTCTTTGATTTGAGGAGTATAGGAAAATAAATGGAATGCCACTTACTTTGCAATGTCTTTTGTTTTTACGTATCGCAGCCAGAATTTCACAAATAAATATAATTACACCAACAGTTTATCAAACGACATTGTACACCATCGAAGCAACTACAATGTTAAGTTATTCAATACAATGTTGTATAAAAAAAAACTAATTTCTTTGGTAGTTTGACCAGTAATTGATCAAAACTTAACTTTATTTTAAATTTACTTATAAGTATCGTTACCAAATAATGTTTTTAATCCAGTACCTAGGATCGACGGTGGTGAAGGAGCTCAGGGGCACAGAGTCAACAAAGAAGTCTATTCAGAAGCTAAAGAAAACCAAAGAACCGCGGGACTCCCCCGACATCATACTCTCGATCAGCTACCGAGGCGTCAAGTTCCTAAACACTATTACTCGGGTAAGCTAAGTAGTATTTTTTTTGTCCCGTCTGCTGCCTGGGCAGCGTGGAATTTTTTCTAGTTTAATTATCTTTACCCAAGTAGTATTTAAAATTAATCTTAGATTAAGAAGTCTTTCATACAATTTAAAAGTTTCAATCTCTGTGCCTCAGGAGTAAGTTCTCCTAAATCTATTTGGCGATACATAAAATATTGTCGAAAGGCTTTTTTCACATATAAATCGGCTTCCTTTATTACATAATATAATTTAATGAGAAAGTCGAAAAAAAAGATAACTAAGATCGTAAATATAATTTAATTATATTTTGCTTCAAAGGCTTCCATGATTTACTTTAGTTAATAGGACACCTTTTTCTTTTTCTCTTTTGTTTTTAAAGTTTGTTTTTTTTTCTCTGACCAGTCAAGTGTGCACTGCCCTAACATCCCGGCCGAACAAAGAGAAGCCCCTGCTTTAACAAAGGGCCTGATTTTGTTTACTTGACTTTTAATTATAGACCATTCTTCACTCTTGATTGAACCGAGCGACCGATCTTGCCTTTGTTTCTTATGAAAAAGGATTGCTTTCCCCCGTTATATTTTTTTCAACAAATTTATTTTTTAGAAGTGTTCACGGTTAGTTAAGTGGCATAATTAGTTTTTTTTTTCACTCCGACCCGTTTCATGCGGATCGCTGGCGTTGTTAAAATTAGAAATTGAATCTGTTTTTTGGGCCTTTGTGCGGTAATTTTACAAAGAGTAAAAACTTCTAAATTATTTTGAATTTATTGAATCATAATATTTATTGTTAACTACTTTTTTTTCATAACTGTGTCTTTAGATATACGACCCTGATAAATTGCATCATTCATCGCAGAATACTTGCGTGCATTAACTGAGGCATTACTTTCAACTCCATCTTTCCTTGTAGCGTAAATTGATTAATATCGTTCTATATGAGGATGCGATTACACTCGTTCGTTAGCCCGATTCATCGGGGGCTCCAATCATTTTACCGAATTCGGCCCCCAAACGGATTTATAACACTGGTCGGTCAATATCATAAAATATGAGCTAATTTATGGTTAGGTAACATTATTCAGAGACGAGCTTAACTTTGTCCATTTACACCTGTTTTTATTTACACCTGTTATTCTTTGGATGTGAAAATGTAACAAAGAAACAGAAAATACATTCAAATTCACAATATTAGTATCGATATATATATGTGAATATCTAATGTCTCACAACACAAAGCTCTCATAATCTGCTTGCAATTGCTATGTCCAACAGTATTTTTTTTTAACTATGTGTTGACATGTTTTGTAATCCTTATGTTTGCAATAAATATTGTGATTTGAAATTGTCAGAATTCTAAAAACACTCAAATTTGGCTGAAAGCCATAGAAATATACACCATTGGTGCATATAGTTGAAACGATTTAAATATCCAAATGTTTTTGAACAGGAGCTAGTTTGCGAGCATGAAATACGGAACATCCACTGCGCCTGCCAAGATGCCGACGATCTGACACATTTCGCGTACATCACCAAAGACCACGCCACCAAAAGTCACTATTGTCATGTCTTCAGAGTCGCCACTATGGTGAGTTTCATTATTTGAGCCCAGATTGACCTTTAAATTAACTGAAAATAATCTTATAACCGTTTTGAGTATGATTAGGTAGAAGGTTAAATCTCAATTTAGTTTGAGAAAGCGGATTTTATAATAAACTAGCGGACCCGGCAGACGTTGTCCTGTCTACACGTCTTTGTGAATCTAAACCATTCTCAGATCCCCTTGAACACACACAAAAAATTTCATCAAAATCGGTCCAGTCGTTTAAGAGAAGTTCAGTGACATACACACTCACAGAAGAATTATATATATAAAGATTTGCCACCGATCTTGTTATATTTAAACTATGTAAACAAACAAAATTGATGATTTATATAAATTTAAAACTCCCCTAAAACCAACTTCCTTAGCGACTGAGCTTTCTTTGTGCTTATTTTCCTAAGTAACATGTCCGCAACTCGTCATTCCCAATCACTCAATTTTGTTTAAATACTGAATACATCATCTTTATCTTTGCAGGATCAAGCGACAGAAGTGATTCTAACACTAGGAGAAGCATTCGAAGTGGCTTACCAAATGGCACTGAGAGAGCAGTCGAACAGAACCAGAGTAACCCAATCGATGGCTAAAACTCCCACGCACGATCCCATGACTACAAGCAATAAAGAGAAGCCCAACGTCAATCATGGCCGATCACATTCCATTACAGAGATCAAACTAAACGGTCATCAGTTGAAGATAGCCCCAATTCCCGCGTCATTGTCCAACGAAGATTTCCAAGCCTCCAACAGAAATTCTGATGGATCCAAAAGTCCCAGAACACCTTTACTGAAAGCGCCAATCGCCTCAACGGAGGAATTGTGAGACTCCAGGTGATATTAGGAACGAGTATCCTACAGTCTTTATACGCAGGATTTCTCCAGCAATATTTAGAAGTCTTCAATCTCTCTTGAAAAAATATTGTATTTGGAAGATTAATTTTAAAAGACAGTCTTCCATAAAAGGCGACTACCTTAACGGGACTAGATATGTTTGATTAAAAAGTGGCTTTCAAAGATGTCCTCGAATCGTTAAATTAAAAAAAAATAAGTATAATGATGATTATTTAGGTAGTTTTCAGTGTTTCATTATCAAATATTATAAAGGAACCGTTGGAGTGGTTGATGACTATGATATATTTCTATTTAATAATCGACTATTGTATTTCGACACTGCTTTTATGAACCATTAACCTAATTTATTCAACTAATGTATATTATAATAAATAAAGAACGATTTTACTATAGAATAGTGAAATTCCTAGGGGCTGTTATATTCATAGGAGTATATTAATGACTGTATATTTTTGGTTTCTCTAGCATTAAAGAAATAAATGAGCTGTTGACTAAATAATTAATAATAAAAAAATCGAGAATATATTTCAACATAAACTTAACGGTCCAAATTAAGCAGTATCTACACTATTACACGAAACACAATAATTATTTATCAAAGTTTTAGGGAGTTTCAAATTGACTAGCTTTAAATTATTTACGCTTTTTGATATTCGTTTAGGCCTAAAAACGATATAATCTCGATATTAGATATTACGATTATGTTATACGTTACCAGTTTTTCGGTGTCGTATGTATAAGTGTATATACATATATATATATATATAGTTTAGATTTTAACGAGTGGGTAGAGATGGACAGGACGGTTTGTTGATATTAAACAGTTTGTAGAGAATGAGGATTCGCCTAACATATAGTACATAAAACATATCAAACCAATGTTATACGTTGACGTAAATGTTATCATGAAATGAAATGCCCCAAGATGTATGTCACTTGCATGTCTTCGCATCGAGGTTGAGAATAAAAAATGAAATATATAAATATGATTAAAATATGAGCTTCCTTATGTTAATTTTGCGAGTAGTTTTTAAATGGTGTTAAAAATTCGTTGTAATTCGTACAATAATCATGTCTCAAAATGACAAAAAAAAATACTGTTTTAATAATTTTTCAATTATTGCAACTGTTTGCTCAAGGCATATTCATATACAATATCAATTTGTTATTTGTAAGAGTTAATTCTCATTTCGGTTTGTGTATTACTAAAGTCTGATTATGATTTGAGATTTAATGTAATCTTATGTGATATTGAGAAGTAAAAGTATTCAGATCACTTTTGGTTTCTTTCATTTAGAACTTGAACTTATGCAATATTATGTCACAGCGTATTATATTTGATATATTTAATTACTATATTTATTTGTATATGTAGCACAATTTTTAAGAGTTATTATTGTTGATATTAATATAAGTATTTTATAAGTTTGACATACAATTTTATTATTATATATTTTAATGATCAAAATTTGGTTTAGACACGTGCAATATATGTTAAAATCTACCACTGCTACAATGATTAATATATAACTACATATGAAGCATAACGCGTGTCTGTATTCAACTTTAGATGACACCTGGAGTAGCTTATGTATATGTATAAATAGTTTGTATATACACATTCGGACTGTGCCAAATATTAAATACAGGATTTATACGCCAATTTTGCAAACCCCATAAATGTTGATAGTGAAGTAAAAATGCTCATTAGTAACACCAATTTAAGTATGCGCATAGGCCTCTTTTTGTATATTTATATTATGGAAATATGATAATAATTATTGTTATAAAAGCAATATTTGCATGTAATAGCCGTCCTGTTAAGGGCGATGTTGTAAATGATTTTTCATTGCATTATCGATGCGAAAGAATTTATACGGACTCTTTTGTTCATAAACATAGAGCATTTTTACAATTTTACTATGAATTATTGCAACGTTTAAATGGACATATATTTATTTTATAAAGTGATAATAGTTACAATTAGCAGGTCGTCATTAAAGAAAAAAAAAACAGTCTTATTTGAGTAGAATAAAGAAATGTGTGTTGTGTATACCAAAGAATAACGTATATTATAGTTAATAGTGATTAAGAATATATAGATAAATATATACACATTAATGATTTCAATGAAAATATTAAAAATATTATGGAGTATATAATAATATAATTCGATCGTTAATAAACACTGCCTATTATGTGTTGGTTGCTTGTCTATTGAAATTGTGTGTCCGATATACCATATTGAGTTAGTTTAAACTTCGCTGTGGTACAATGAAAGAGTTATTTGCCACATAAAAAGGATAAATGGTTGAGATTATAGAAAAAATCACTCCTTAAACTGGAAAGGCGCGGCTTCGTACATTGTGGGTAGAAACTATTTTACATACTTACTTTCTTATTACACAGCTATAAGAGTCACTTTCGTAATATTCGAAAGTGAAAAGTATTTAATGGGCAATTCACATTGAGAGCTCGGGCGTACGTGCGGCGACTTCACTTAAGCCTTTCAATCATGTTGTGATCAAATCAAATTTAAATTGAATGTATACTATAATGCATCTATGAGCATAAACCTTAAATTGTCAGTTTAAAAAATGTCAAAAATGAGAAAGCTCTTAATGATAAAGATTATTAAGAGTAGTCAAATTGATCACTTTCTACTGCTGTCTTCTGTTTCAGATTTAACATAAACACTATTATTTCTACTAAATTTCACAATTGGTGCACGTTTGTATGAGAAAGGGTTAATCTAGACCGCATTTTGTATGAATTTAATACGCTATACGTTAATAAAGTTATTACCATAGAATAAAACTGCAACAGAAGTTGGGTCAGGGTAGCGAAATTAAAATGCTGTTATATTCAAGTAACGTGTTCAGTCACCAATATTACAAATAGGAATGAATAAAACGGCATCCCGGGCCCCTAACATAATCTCGAAATAAAGCATTCAACAAAAGTTAAGACTACGTAGAAGTAATTACCTAATGTAAACAAAACTTCAATTCACGGTCAATCTTTATCACACATAATAATGGGGCCCGGTGACGCGAGCTTTGTAGAGCTCTATAACAAAACATTACTTGCACCGGACTGTGTTTTTGATGATACCCCCTAGCATATTTCTTGCGCCCGCACATTTGGTGTGAATGAGCCCTTTACTACAAAAGGCGTTACCGTTTACATTAAAAATTTATACAGCACATGATTCATGTCCTAAATTGTAATTTTTTTACGTCATAAAACTGTAATATTGATATTTATTTTTGAAAATTTATTAATTTTTTATAAGATTTTTAAACAAAATTATTATCTGTTTCATGTATTCTGTACATTATTACCTATTTATTTATATCATATGAAAATTAGCGGTTGTGTATCTTTTATTTATTGTATGTAGAATTATTATGGTTATAGATATATATTATATACAATAATATATTTGGTAGTTAAAACCTTCTATTGACATTGTAAATACTTTATCTATAATAATATTATTATTATATTCAAATTTCAATAAATTGAGGAATATTGTGATGGACTTTTTATTCGTCACACAAATACAATTATAAGCTGTCATTGGATTTTCGGCTAGGTAGTTACTGTAACTCAGATTTTCTATCTAGTTTGAAAATAATGTATTAGTCCATATATTTTTACATTCCACGTCCCATAAGGTATTTATTACGTAGCTGTTTCTAATATCTTATTACATGATTATTTTTAATAATAAGAAAGAAACCATTAAGCGTAATTCCTTGTCAAGCGCGTCAGATATTAATAGTGTAATTGCCCCACGTATCTCTGGTAACGGAAAAGTATTAATCTGCTGGTTTCCAAAGTGGGGCTAACCGTACGAAGCGGTTGAAAATAGTAATAAAAAAAAGTTATTCTAGCGCGTCAACCGTTGATAAGGGATGTTACGTGAACTCTCCAGTAGCTCCTATTCAAACGACTGACGCTTTAACGCGCTTATAGTTTTTTTTAGTTCATAATATTTAATAAAAAATAATGAATGTAATAAATAAAATATGTCTGTACACAGGTGATTAATCCTGTATTTAATAAAAAAAGTACCTAAACGATATTTTTTAAATGAATATTTTCAATCTTCATCGTTAGTGGAATCATCTTCATATTCGAACTCCGGTTCGGTCTAATGACGACATCCTCATAGGATTAAAATTTACACATAGCTCTCCAGCGACTGCATACACCACACTCTATTAATGACTTTAACTAGCTACTTCGGCTTGTGCAAATCGGCAAATTATATTATTTCCAAATTATCAGATTATTGAAATGTATATTTTTCTGCATGTTCAACTAACCTTATTTTAATCTGACGTGCTCGAGTTTCTCCAACGATCGTTTTTTTTTACTAATCTGACAGGCGCGGTCGCAGCCTAAAATTTTGCAGGGGGTCACCCACTACACTAATAAAAAATAGGTATCTGGAATAAAATAAACATTATTGCACAAGACACAATTTAGTTTATACATTACTTATAAAATATTGTTATAAAATCTTTATCATAACGACACATATCGATTTTGCTAGGATTACCAAAACTACATGGTTCGGCTCCTTGTTTCTAAACTAGTACTAGATGTCATTTCCAAGTTATTTTGGCCATCGTACGTAGTTCATAAAAACACCACTAAATGTCAACAAACTATAAAGGAGATTGCTCAAATTGGCCCAAATGCACAAAAAATATTGACATACACTATTTAATTTACAGTTATTAGATTTCAACGAACACCTTTGTATAATATAATATATTAACTTTAAAAAGGACTTTTAATTTTACCGGTTTGGAAAACATACGAAACATTTTAAATGGCTATGGGTGTAGTAACATTCAGCCAAAGACTGATCGAAGTTGTTTATATAACAAAAACAAATCTATTTTGTAAAGATCGATACAATAAATCATTTTTTTATTACACTGTGGTATTAATATCCACAACTTTATTATCATTTTCACTAGATGCAAATGTGCTCAGACAATTATTATAGATGGTAGGCGACATCATAAAGTCTATTGCCAGGGGCGGCCCTAGGGCGGTGCGACCGCACCGGGCGCCGTCATATGGGGGGCGCCGAAAACGGCCGAACGCCCGACTAGGTACAGATCGACTTACGCGCAAGCAAATCGTATTTTTGTCCGGCGAGTAGCGACGAGCGACGAACGCGGAGGCGGTGAGGGGAAAAGGTGTGCAAACCAGAATTCTGAACCAATATCCTC